GTGTATAGATGTGTATAGATGTGTGTACAGGTGTGTATAGATGTGTGTACATGTGTGTATAGATGTGTGTACAGGTGTGTATAGATGTGTGTACAGGTTTGTATAGATGTGTGTACAGGTGTGTGTCTGTACCTGTAGTTTGTCGTATCACTGCGATCTGTCAGGTTCAATCTTTGTTTCTCCATTTTGTTTGTCATTTTGAGACAATCTGGCAACTTGTGCGACTGACTGCAACACAACAACAACAACAACACAACTGTCAGAGAACACAACAACAACACAACAAGATTTAAATACAACACAATAACACAACGGGCGACAGGGTGTGGAACCTTGATGCTCCTCTTCCTCTTCTGGACGTTCTGCTCAGGATGGAAAACGATGACGTAGACCTTCGGCATGTAGAGCATCCCGAGAGACACGGACGCACTGAGAGACATGGACACAGTCAGAGTCGCCGTCTGGATGAACATCTGGAGAGACGGAGATGGACACCATGACAGAGATCATCCCGAGGAACGTCCAGAATAACTAAAGAACGACTAGAACCTCTTCAGTAAGTGTAGAACATGGTGACGTCATCGTTCACAGGTTCAGGTTGAATGACGCAGACCTTGATTCAGTGTGAGAAGCTCCTGTGACGTCCTGATGTTTATTATTCATTTATGAACATAAAACATTTTAATGGACGTGTTTATGACCTGAGGTCGTTAATGCAGAATTAACGTTGTCTGAGAAAATATGATTTAACTTCAGAGCTTATTGGTCGACTGTGATCTGTTTGATGTGGACCACAGAAATCCACATAAAACCATGTAAATCCCAACGAGTCCAGATCACTTTGCTCTAAAAGTCTTTGTGAATAACAGACGTGTTTCCGTCTGTTTCCCTTTGCGTTATTTTTGGCTCTTTTTGTTATCGGCGGCTCTTTAAACGTTGGTTTTAATAAAGTTATTATTCTCTAATTTCATCCTGTGCTGGATTATAATCTGTTTAATCTGCACTCAGTGTCTAATCCTGCCGTCGTTTATCTGTCGTCCCTCCCTGAACTCACACTGAACCAAAACCAGGCTGCACCAAATCCACACTGAACCAAAACCAAACGAACTAAAACCAAGTGGATCAAAACCACATGGACCCAAACAACCAGTTACCACGGTCTCACCTTCTCAGTGGACTTGGCGGTACCAAAGAAGATCGGTACGAAGGCGAGCCAGACGATGCAGGTGGTGTACATCGTGAATCCGATCGGCTTTGCTTCATTAAATGTCTCCGGGACACCACGACTCTTCACTGCATACACTGTACACGTTACCTAGCAACAAGAATGATCCGGGTAACTTAGCAACAGGGCCAGTTCAGCCTTCTACACGTTGTTTGTTGAAGAGTCGTCAATAACGGATCAATAACGGATCAATACGTTACCATGAGCACAATACTGTAGCTGAGGCAGCAGATGATTGACAGGTCAGACATGTCACACTTCAGGATGCCTCTGGCATAGTCAGGGTTTGGGGGGCGGAGCTCCTCATAGTCGATGATGGTGTGAGGGGGGATGACGGCGAACCACACAAACACTCCTAGGATCTGACACACACACACACACACACATAGATGAACCTGTGTCATGTGACGGGAGGTCATGTGACACCTGAGCACTCACCTGGATGCAGACGAGGATGAAGGTGATGGCGAGCTGGGAGGTGGGGCTGATGAATTTGGGCGGGGTCACTGACCTCTTGCCCTGCTCGAAGATGCGGTAGATGCGGTTGGTTTTGGTCAACATGGCGGAGTAGGTGATGGCCATGCCGAGGCCCAGCAGGAGGCGCCGGAACGCACAAACCACCGCACCTGGCTCCGCAATCATCAGGAAAGTGATCAGGTAGATCAGGAAGATACCTGCAAACACAGAGAGAGATGATGTCATCCTCACTGCTGATGACATCACTGATGACAGGTGAGTATTTACCTGTCAGTAGAACATAGCTGAGCTCTCGCCCTGACGCCCTGACGATGGGTGTGTCGTTGAAGCGGATGAAGGTGATGACCACGGCGCTGGTTGCTAAGATACCCAGCATGGCGAGGGAGGCGGGAACTAGAGCCCAGGGGGAGTTCCACTCCAGTTTGATGATCGGAGTCGGATGACACATGGTTCTGTTCGGGGCGGGACGCATGTCTGATGGACACATCTCACAGGTAAACTCATCCAGCTGGAACTGATACCCATCACAGAGCTGCAGACAGGTCAGAGAGAGAGA